TTAACCATTGTGGTGGATTCGAGGCCTGTTTTGGGGGTGCGGAGGAGTTATACGCATACTGCGGGGGAGGCGGGGGGTATGAGTGGGAGGGGGAGTGGGGGTAGCGGGTTGGGGTGGTGGTTGGATTTTGCGGGGAGGAGTTTGTTGCTTCCGAAGGGGGGTAGAGGGGAGGGGGTTGGGTTGGGGTCGGGGGGTGTGCCGGTGGTGTTGGGGACGGTGGTGGAGGGGGTTGGGGTCGTGGTGTCGACGCCGGTGCAGGTGCAGGGTGGGTTTGCTGCTGCGGGTGGTGGTGTCGGGGGTGGAGGGGTGAGTCCGTGTGGGAGTCGCCATTGTGAGGATTGTGTGCCTCCTCAGAGTCCGGTCGTGGTGGTGCCGCTGGGGATTGGGGGTGGGACGCCAGCTCCGGACCAGAGAGAGCTGCGGAGGCTGGAGAGCGAGCTGTTTGATACGGCGAAATACGTTGGTGGTGGTGACGGGAGGTGCTTTGACTGTGCTGACGTGGTCTGAGGACAGCGCATTCGGAACTATCACGCTGTTTGAAGTAGACGTCGAACGGCCGGTTTCTCCGATGACCACGCGTACGAGTGGGCTTGGCAGCCAGGCGGTCGACACGCCCCGATGGCGCTGTACCCCGGGTAGGGGAAAGGGGGGGGGTAGTCAGCGTGAAAGCCGGTGGCGGCCATGGAGGACGTGCCGCGGCAGGTCCTCGTTAAGTATGCGCGTTGTATCAGGGCGGTGAAGAAGAACGGTACTGCACCACGACAGGGGGACGGGGAGATTCCGGTGGAAGGCTCACCATACGAGGCGGGGTCAGCCCAGTTTCGCCCGGGCTTGGGGCATGGACGAGCTCCATGAAGTCCACACTGCGACAGCGGCCGTGTTTGATGATGGTCTTGACAGCAGCGGCACCAGAAGAAGCCGCAGGAGAGACCCAAGTCGACGGGAGCGAAGCTCACTGCGGGCTGAACACGCACAGGATTTCACCACTCGCCCCCGCGCCAGGGCCGAGTTGCCCGTCATGCAAGATGCCGACGGAGTGGTGGCAACAATCCCCCAAATCCTTGCTCTGTTCCACGCAACCAGATCCATCATCGAGAAGGCGTCTTCTACGCCAGCCACATCCCAGGTAGTGGAAACGGATGACGGCGAACGAGTACGGGCCGTCTCTTTGGGCGGCAAGCCACAAGGTATGCGGCACCGAGGCAGAGACGTGCATGTCGTTGTGCTAGTGCCAGATGGCGCAAAGTGGGCAGGGGAACGCATATTCTGGACGGATGACAACGGGGGGCTAGCAGAGCTCAGGAAGAAGAAATACCGGCATGCCATTGACGGCGGAAGAGCAAGCACCAGACGGGGGACTCGGTCTTATAGAGGCTGGGAGATGGACATTTTGAGTCCAGGGACTCTTCCGCCACATCCTCAATCGGCGAGGTGGTGATATTTATAGCATTGCATCAACCGGAAAAGATTGGGACTTAGCATTTGGTTAGAGGCACCGGCTCTCCTTTTACGTGGTAGAGAAAAGTAATAATTCACCTAATATTCCCAGCCTCAAACACTTCCTAGTCTTGTCTTTTACGGCTGCGGCCACTGATCCAACACCGTCTCATCTCCCGTCAAGGTAAAGGTGATGTTTGCGAGTGTGGGTTGGTCCAGAAGCAAGGTGTATGTTCCCGGATATAGCACCCTATTCCCCTTGCCGTCCACCCGCGCCAGACTCTCCAATTTCCAGTCGAGCTCCGCCGATTGTGTCTTTCCAGGCTGTACGTCGAACACACGCTTATACGTTGCCAGTGACTTGATTGGACGGGGCGTTGGTCCAAAGTCTCCGGCCAAGAATCCCAAGACCACATAGTCGGACGCCCGGGAGCCGGTGTTGGTCACGCTGACCGAGACGGACGGGAATGGACAAAGCTCAAGGTATGTGACGCCTTTGCATGACGCGAGGAGATCCGCGATGGAAAAGGTTGCCGGGAAGTCCAGCGGCGCAACGCTGAAATTTGTGTAGTGCAGACCATGTCCAAACGGAAACACGGGATCCTTGTACCACCGGTAAGTGCGCCCCGGATAGGATGACGACGGCCTCAGTGCCATGTTGGTGTACGGTGCTTGGTTGGTGTATGACGACGGGTATACCGTGACGGGCAGCCTTCCTGCCGGGCTCGCTAGGCCGGTAATGAGGTTCATAACCGCGGTCCCGCCGTCCTGCCCGGGGTATCCAGCCCACAGGATAGCCTTCACGTTGGGGATGCTCAAAAGTGGCGTGTCGTCGACATGTGTTCCCATTCTCACAACAATCACGGGCTTTCCGGTCTGAGCAAGCCTCTGAATCATGGTGAGCTGTCCCGACGGCCACGCAATCGACGTGCGATCCTGGCTCTCCTTCTCGACTGTGTTGTCGATGCCCCCGAAAAAGATCACCACGCTAGACTTTTGGGCGGCGTTGACGGCGGCCGAGGTGTCTGCGTTGGTCTGCGTCAGGGGCCCGTTGACATAGTTGACCGTGATACCCATTGACCTTGCCGCGGTGACAGGGTCGTGGCTAAACGGAGGACTGCCGCTGTAACCCCCGAGCATCTTGTCGGCCGCGTTGGCCCAAAAGCCGATCATGGCAACCTGGGTATTGGAGCCGCCGAGCGTCAAAGGGAGAATGTTGTCGTTTTTGAGCAGCACGATACCTTCTTCTGCTGCCTTGAGTGCTGTGTCTCGGGCAACCTGCGTGTTGACATCTGCCGCAGTCAAGTTGCGGTACAGGCTGTTGGGTCCGTCAAAGTATCCCGCTTTGACAAGACCCTGCATTTGGCGGAGCATAGCCTTGTCCAATGTGGCTTGGGTAAACTGGCGGGAGTTGAAAGCCGATGCGGGATCTGGCGTCGTGCCGCCGGTGGCCCAGCACATGTTGTCACAGCCAGCCTCCAAGGAGGCCCCGATAGCAGCTGCGTAACTTGACTTGTACCGGTGGCCGCCGTTCGCATTGCCGAGATAATAGACGGCATCACAATCGCTCACGACGTACTGGTTTTGATCGGTCCAGTTCCAGTGTTTCCGGAGAATCGTGTCCATCAAGTAGGGGCTCGCGCAAGCGGGTACGCCGTTGACCGCGTTGTAACTGCACATGATGGATCCCACCTTGGAATCCCGCGCGCATTGCTGGAAGGGAGGCAAATAATACTCGGCCAGGTCCTGGGTAGAGACCTTTGCGTCGAAGTTGAAACGCGTTGTGCTCCCCGAGTTCTCGAGGTCGTATGCTGCGTAATGCTTGCAGGTGGCTATGACCCTGTGTGTCGACTCGGTCCCTTGCATGCCCTGAACAAAGGCTTCAGCCCACTTCTTGTTTCTAAAGGCATCTTCTCCGGGCGTTTCATGTCCCCGTCCCCAACGCGGGTCACGGAAAGGGTTGACGTTGGGGGTCCAGAAGTCGAGGTGGGCACGCCCGTTGTTTGCGAAGGCGCGAGCTTCGGTGCTGATTATGACACCGATCCGCTCAATAAGATGGTCGTCAAAAGCTGCCGAAGAGGTGATGGCCTGTGGGAACTGTGTCGCCGCACTGAACTGGCCGCCCCAGGTGATGCCGCGGTTGTGGGCTACCCCATGGAGCGCTTCGTTCCACCACTGGTAGGCGCTGAGTCCGAGTCGTGAGACGCCAGGGGAATTACTAGCGGGGCCGGTCAGTCTGTGAGATTTATAACAGATGTGGGAAAGCTACTTGATGAGATTGGCGAGCTTCTCGTTGTTGTTCATGGCCGCCACGAGGGCAGCAGCTCGGGCCGCTGGGGCAGCGGATGTGTCGCACACAACATTTGACTTGAGCGGTCCGTTTGCGCAGTTTGGGTATGTCACGCCTCCCTGGACTGGAATAACAAGCGCTCCGATGGAGAGAGCGAATGCAGAGAGGAAGGCCATGGTATTTGGTTTTGTGTGCGCTTGAAAGCTACGGTCTTGATCTGTAAGCCCGAACTGCCCATCTTGTAGTCATTGTCAACGTCGCCATGGAAAATCCAGTTTCCGGGTTTCCGGTGTGATATATTAACCTCTGCTTTGCGACACCGCCTAATGAAGGTAAGCAGCTGGAGAGCTAGAGCTTTGGCCACTACTCGCGACTCAACACCGGCGTTTGTCAAAACCTCGGATTATTGCGCCCGTTGTGATTCCACCAATTGACAACCGTTCATCATCGAATCCGTGAGCCAAGGTGCCATATTTGGCAGGAACACATTCGGGTGGTTGAAAAATACCCGGTTATACACTATAAATTGGGGAAACCTCCCAGAGAAAACAAAGGCAGGAAATTGCCGGCTGCTCGGGCCCTGCCTAAGTGTTCGTGACAGGTTGCGGTCCAGGTTAAAGAGTGGGAACTTGAGGACAACTGCCGCTGAGCAAGAGCCTAGGTACATGTACCGTCAAACCTGCCGTCCGTACCGTGCCTTCCATCCAGTCCTCCAATCGTCACGAGACAAAGGATGCCTACAGTAGCAATCGGCAAGCAGGACTTAACATTCAGCCGCCAATGGCGCACCCTTCGAGGCAACAGTCGCTTCCATCTGAGTCAGGAAGGACCGGGCCCGCTACACCACCTTCTTTTCTGTTGTTACCCTCAAGCTGCAGCCTAAACGAGCTCGTGGAACTTGAACTGAAATCGTAACTAAGCCTTTCTTATCTTATCTTACCTACCCAGGTGTGTGTGTCTTATCTGTTCCCGACTTATCCTTCGTCTTGCTGTGCTCTCAACTCTCTAAAGTCCAGATATTCACTTTCCAAGCGAACCAGGGACTTGATATTCCCCAGAATGGCAACCAATTTCTCTCAAATTTCTTCATCGCTAAACCGCCGGCAAAAGGGAATATTCTAGGTACCAAGTTCCTCCGGATCCGGTCCTGGGAGAATTCATGGAATCATGGTGATTCCATTCCCAAAAGTTGGGTCGACTTTCCAGAGCTCTGCAACCTGTGTCGTGCATCAAATCATCCCCTAGGGGGCCGAAAGCGTGGTGAACGAGTGAAATAACCTTCTATAAGTATTCTATGAATCCCCCCGTGGTACTTCCTCAACCAACCAGATGGGTATGCGCTAAAGACGATGTGAAGGTTGCAAAACAAATTCCCCCAGCGCCGCGCTCCGAGTTCCACAACAATCCAATGTATGCATCCTTCTAAATTTCAAACGGGAAACCGGGATGTCGATCGATGGTGGCCGAAAAGAAAATGGGATGAATGCCACCCAACCTAAGAATTCTCTGCCGAGAAACACACTTCCTCAAGAGACGTCATCCGCTTTCTCAAGTCGGGACTCGTCGACCGTCTGCAGCGCAGTCGGGGTAAACGGTAAATACTGGCCATCGGGCTGCGGATTCGAGACCAAGATGGTGACCAAGTTGCTGTTCACGGCGACGACTTTGTAGACCACGGTCGAGCCGCGGACCCGGACTGCTTCGCCAGACTGGAACTGCAACCGGTTTTGTTCAGCACTGGAAAACACGACACCGGGGACAAAAAGACTTACCGCCATCTTGGAGGGGCGTCGTGGTAAGATACGCCAAAAAGTTGTCTAACGTTGTGCGTTGCCCTAGTTCCTGTCAGCCTTCCTAGAAATATCCCTAGATGTAGGCGACGAGGCCCATTGGAGCGCTTACCCTGCTTGGTGCGACGATCTTCGCCGAGAGAGTTTGCGGTGTCACCTATTGTCTGGTTGTCGGCCGTTACCAGAGGAATGGGCGGCGCAATACGCAGAAGGGCCGCCAACTATTTAAACCTCCCACGAGACAGGGAGTGACGATCGTCAGGGTGCCACCTCACTCGCAACTTCATGGCAGCGGCCTAACGTTCGAGCCGTTGTGGAACCGAGGGGCCATGTGCTCGCGTTAGACATGTGGGAGAAAAGTGCTATCGGTCTCCGGATGTCCCTCTTGGGTCGTCATAGCCATCCGCCGCTAACCCGTACGGGGTGCAGGAGGAAAAGACGCCAGCAGGCATCCCCGACCCCACATGCACACCACCACACATGCCTATACATGCCGGTGGCGGATGGAACCACCAGCTCGGTTGCCGGTGGCGTGACCGCACTGGCTGGCTGGTGTTCGAGGTGCCATTCAGGGTGCGCCCCGCTATTGGAGAACTGGCAGAAGGTGGTTACATTGCACAGCGTCCACGGGAAGCCCCTATTGACGGGTCGTCGGTCCTCGTCGTCACTCGCGGCCCATTTAGCAGCCAAGCAACCCTCTCCAACGCTCCAACCATGCCAACCCACTAGAAATCACCGACAGCACGCACGCCTTTGATCCTTCCATACGGCTTCCTTGCTAGGTACAGGATCGGCGGAACCGACTGTTTTCTCGGGCTCCTTCCCGTGCCCACAGCCGTGACTCCCCACGAGCCGCCAGAAACAGGCAGAATTCCTTTGTCCTTTTTCGCCCGTCTCACGCTTCTGAGCTGTCACCGTCTCTTGTCTGCCAAGGTTGTGCAGTCGGGCAGAGAAATGGCCCGCCAAGCAAAAACGTTGGCTCCGGGACTCGGCAATATCTCAGCGGTGGTTCTGGCGCCCGAAGGGTCTTCCTTGAACTCCCCAGCAGTATGGTGCAGATCGTGGATCCCTGGGAATCCCAAAAGTTCCTGGTCCCTACTCCCGATTCCTGACTCCTGACTTGGTTTGTTTCCTGGGTGCGTGAATCGCCGCCGATGCCCTCTGCATGACGGCAGGCTTACCCGGAGACGGCATCGTTTTATCGAGCTGTGTTCCCAGAACTGGGGTTGCACGGCGGCAGCCGACCTCATGCAGAACGCCGTATCAGGAGCACACAGGCTGCTCGGGTGCTCTCTCTCCACATGTGCAACCCCAAATCGTCACAAAACTTATCATTTTGATCTCTCTCGGCTTACAACCCACACCCAGTGGCCCAAACGGGCAACCCAGTTGGAGAGGCTTCTCCTTTCGGGGCCACGGTTCGCTTCCTCGCGGGCGCTGAACCGATCTGTTGCCTGGCTAATGCAACTAACCACACCGCCCTCGAGAGTCGAACCGCCATGACGACGATGGCTTCGGTCTCACAAGCGCCGGCCTCGGAGTGCAAGCTTGCGCTTTGGGCACCAACCCGCCATATCTCGTGCTCCCACACAGCCCGCCCGTGGTTTACCGCAATCGGGTCTGCCGAGCGAGCCCAACAAAAAGCGATGGCGAGCAGCCCCGGCCCCAGCTAGTACGGAGGACTCCCCTCCAGTCGAAGTACCGGGAACATCGTCGCTATCGCCAGTCACATCTTCAGCATCCGGCACGAGCCGACGGCCCCCTCGTTGGGGGACGCGGGTCAGCAAAAAAGTGCGCGGGCACCTTGTTAAATCCGGTTCAGCTCACGCTTGCTTCCACCGCGGCATCCCTCAAATGGAATAGGAAGCCGTCATTCCATTGTGCCACGTCTCAGTTCATCGGCTCACCAGACTGACGGCCCCAGCCCTAGCGTGTCGGTCGCGTCAAAATTCTCCCTTCTCCCCCTCTGGAAAAGACACGCTAGTGCCAACTCCCGCGCGCCCGATGCCGCCCTCGATTGGTTGGTGGTCTCTCGGTTCAGGGATGGGGCCCCTTATCAGATTAACCTCTGCCGCAGCAGCCGCTCCGGCCACACACGTCAAACCCGAGGTTCCTTTCCCCTCATGATGCGACGCTGACCAACGGCCTGCGGCCTGTTCGCTCTGCCCGCTCGTCTCCAATCCGTCGGCTTGGGCACTTGCCATGGATGGGGGGAAACAGCAAGAGAAGTTGGGTTTTCCTCTCGGTCCACAACACACACTCTTGGGCTGGGATTGCGGTTACCGTCCCTCCGAGAGGGGGTCGCGGTGGAGCTACTCCAACGGGATCCCCCCTCTCGTGCAACGGCGAGGAGGGCTCGCATTCAACATGGTGTTCCCCTGTTCCCGAGTGGGCTCTCAGTAACGGAGATCGCTCCGCCAACCCCTCCGGCCCCTTTTCCCCCGACTCCTCCTGTGTGCCCCTCCCCCCGCGTCTTCTCCCATCCGTTCGTCAACACCCACACCAACTCAGTGCACATACGTCATCATCTTGTGAGAAAGTGTAAAGAGGGTGCTGTGAAAAGGCTGGAGGCTTCACATGCCAGCATTAAACTGCTTCGGGCTGGCTTAGGGCTTATTTAGTGCGTGGGGGTTGCCAGTTTTAGTCCAGGAGTCCGACGCTACCAGTGTGGTCGGTCGGGCGACACGGGCCCCTGATGTCAACACCAAGCCCCTGGTTTGTTCCCTGGGTTAGCGCCCAACTTGGAGACCAGGGTCTCGCCCAAAGTCGCCAGCTCAACGGTCAGACGGTGCATTTTCCAACAAAACATAGATCTTGGTCAGAATCGCCTTTATAAATTTTCCTAAACAATTCTCCTTTTTTGCTCAATCTAATCGGTTGTTGCGCTGTCAAAGTGGTGGTTTTCAGCCGTTGGGCCAGGGCCCCTGTCGAAAGTGCCGTGCTAACAAACACAACCTTTTTTTGTTTACATTATGGACAGGGAGACAGATGGTCGACATGTTGTCAGTAAATTTGAGCATTCTTCCACTTGAGACACATTCATCGCATTAGTCTGACGAGCTGATAACTAGCCATATCTATCTGAGACACTTGACAAGCCGTGTCTCTTCACAACACTCTAAGTGCCACAGCCCTCTCCAACTTGTCCACTCTTATATGCTTTGTCAGTTGGTTTCGCCATCATTGGCAACAGCAAACAAAGACTCATAAGTCAAAATAAATGCAGTTCACAACTCGGGTCCTGTCAGTGTTTAAATTGTTATATCCACGCTCCACACAGCCCACAGCCTTTCATCAGCCGTAATTTCATTAACAAAACATTTTAATGCAGCCCCTAATTTGCATACAACCTAATCAAGCCCTGGCAATAGCAAGTCGCCTACAAACACATTTCACATTGCCTGAATATTTTCTTGATAGGTACCCCACTAGGTCTATTTTAACGAGGCTAACAACAGTGCTTTTCTCCGTCACATTTCTCAGTGTCTTTGCAAGGCACTTAAATTCAAGATTGTCAGCGTCGTCTTGAAAGATAGTCTGTGAGTGAAAATCATCTAGATTTATCTGAGTGTGAATGGTAAAAGAAGGGCAGGTTGGACTGTCTGTAACTGAATGGACTCGAGTTTGATGCTAGGTCTGCAGCCTTGGGCTTAAGGTACATTGTGAAACTGAACGCCATGTCGAAGGAAACTGTACGAGTGCTCAAGCCTAATGTCGTACCACCCGAATAACCCATTTGCAAGGCAAATGACTGAACTCAACATATCGAACTGTGGGTTGTTACGTTGGTTATCACATTCACGGGTCAACGTTAAAGGTCCCCGGGATCCTTTGACTCGGGGCCTGAAGGCTCACCACTGTACGTCTTCACCTGGTGTTCTGCTTGATGGGCTCCCGTCAACTGCACATCGTAACAATGCAACCTCCCACGTGTTCCCAGCCCATGATCCATTGCCCTGAACCAAAACCAGCCTATGGGCGGAGTGAGGGACAACCGGTCAAGCAGGTACCTGAGGTGCAGGTCGGGATTTGGAGGACCCACGCCGGCGTGAGTAATGTGCTCGGCGCTCTCATGCTCAACCTCAGCCCTGAATTCGATCACACCCGGCAACAAACATCCTCGCCATCCCATCTCTTGAGGGCCTGGCCCTTTCAGCGAGGGCAAGAACCCTAACCTGCCGTTTTGTCAAGCTACTTTTTCTTATTCCTCCCCAGTTGACCTCCGTTCCGTTCCCGACCACTCCCCGCTCCGTTAGTCTGCCTGCCCGCCACGACCGGAAGCTTTGCTTTCTGTTTTCTTCTTACCACGGCCTTTTACCACGCCCGGAAGCATCTTTCTTACTTTTTCTTCTCGCCGACAGAGAGATCGTACTACTCTCTTAGCTGCTCGACGCGCTTCGGAGCTTGGAAGCTGCTGAACTCGCTTCTCAGCTCGTACTCCAGCGGGCCAGGTACGAACAGTATTGCTCGTTCGCGGCAGTCCCTTCGAGTCGATTCCCTTTCCCGCACACAGAAGTCAACCCGAATTTAGCTCCTTCCTAACCTTGCTCATGAGCTGATTTGAAACATTCTCAGGCGACCAAGGTTAACTTGCCTCCATCTGCTCAGAGTAAGCATTTTCACCGTTCCTTCGCTCTCTTCCCCGACGCGCGTGGCGCCGTCTTCCTCTTTTCATCAAGCTAAAGGGCTGTTCTTCTAACCAATTAACTCTTAGTACTCTTCGCGTTCTCTCGACTGACATCCGCCACTCCTCCACGTTCTGCCGAACGACACGTCGAAGAGCGCGACTCGAGTATTCCGACACACACCATCACTTGCTTCCGCAGTTATCGCAGCAGCGACTTGAGTCCGTTGGCCTGAATCCAAGGTAAGAAACCCGCTCGACGCGTTAGAGTCCGCTACCGGTTCTTAAGCTGACCTCAGCCTCCCAGTACCGATCTACGACCGAAAAAGCACAACCACACAACATCAAACAAGGCAGATCCAAGCAGAAAGCACCATGGCACCGACTAGACCCACGCCGGGCGGCTCTTCGGCCAACCCCATCGACCTGACCGCCACCCGCCCCGCCACGGCCACCATGGCGGGTTCCGGCACCGGCACCAGCACCGGCAGTGGCATCGTCTCGGGCCCTGCCGCTGACTCCATCCCCGGCACCGCCACCATCACTGGCATGGTCGACAACCCGTGCCCTACCCCCGGCATCTCGGGCATAAGCACGCTCTTCAACGCCACCCCTCTCACCGAGTTCGACCTTGCCGTCGACCGTACTCTCAGCCAGGGCCCCGCCAGCCCCCCCGCCCCCGCCGCAGCCGGTGGCATCCTCTCCGGCCGTGTGACCAAGACCAAGAGCACCCCCAAGAAGGCCACCCCCAACAAGAAGACCACCCCCAAGATACCCACCACCACCACCACCACCGCCGCTGCTGCCCCCGACAGCCCCACCCCCGGCACTGGCACTGGCACCAGCGCCGGTGTCGACAGCCCCAACCCGCCCAAGCGCGGCAAAGCCTCCGGCCTCCCCTCCTGCCTGGCCTGTCGGCGCTCCAAGGCGCGCTGCGACCGGGTGGTGGCGTGTGAGCGCTGCATCAAGGCCGGGAAGGAGTGCGTGAGTGGGGGAGGAGACCGCCGCTGATAATGGTGATGAAAAGATGAAGATAATGGTGTTGCTGGTAAGAGTAGTGATTGTGGTGCTCCGGGGGACAGTTCGGGGCAAGGCGTGTGAGCTCTGCCGGAGGATGAAGGCCCGGGTTGTGTGCGCCAAGGAGAGTTTGCGTGAGGTGTGAGAAGAAGGGGTCAGGAGTTGTGTTATGGCTTGAGGGGGCCGGGAGGGTGAGGGGGGGGAGTTTTGTTGTTTCCCTGGTTGGGGGGAAGGGGAGAGGGGGTCAGCCCCGGCACTGAGGGTGTGGGTGGTGCCGGGGATATGGGGATTGGGATCTGGGGTGCCTCGGTCATAGGGATGAGCGGGGGACATGGGCGCTGCGTTTCTCTTCTTGCGTTTTCTTCGGGGGCGCACACTGCCGGCCTCCGGGCCTCTGGTCTTTTGGGGGCTCCCTCCTCTGCGGGGCGGCCGCCACCGCGGAGGGCTCCTCCGCGGTAGAGATAGCTAAAGCCATTCCCTCCCACTTTACCGCCGTGCATTGACTTTGTGAGATTGAGTTTTGCCTCTCAGTAACCCATGGCAAGCGATGTGTACCCTCGTCGACCTAAAAAAACTATTATTATTATTATTATTTCCCACACCGATATGCCCGTGGGCACGCCGGTCCTTCTACCGCTATTTACACATTAAGTCGAGAAAGCGCTGTTCTGGCCGCCGAATTTGGCTGGGCCGTGTCGCCGTTTTCGACAGCCTGGACAGTGAGGGGCGCGGCGGGAGCAGTGTTCCCATGAAGTACCCTGTAACCCCACCTGTTCTAACATCGCCTGCAAGCACCCCGGCCCAACCTGCGAGAAAACTTGCTGAGGTGACAAACTCGCAACTCTGTTTCCAACTCCCTGAATGCAGGATCCTTGGCACTCGAGGAGCCGGTTCTGGCTCCCACAACCAGCATTAGTTGCGAATCCCGTTGACTGCCCATTTTATCGAGAGACCTTGCTCCCCTCTGTTACTGATTGTTGTGCCATGCTTCAATTCTTTTTATATTAAATCGCGGCCATGGGAGGGGTGGGACAGCTTTCCAAGCTCCCTCCTAGAAATCGTGGAACAGATCCTTGACGGGCTTTGTGTTCACCACGTCAATGCTTCCGGGGATACGTCGGAGAGTGGTCATTCGAGCCATACGAGTCGCCCCGCCAACAGTACAAGGACGTGACTCTCAGCTTCTCCGGACTTTCCATCCTTTGCCGGGCATCGAAATACCTCAACCAGCTCACAACATCGCGACTCTACCACAGCCTCATAGGCCGGAAGACCCTATTCGCGTGGGCGCTAATTGCGCGGACACTCATCCGGCGTAAAGACCTCGCTGCGCTCGTTAGGCACATCTCTGTGGAATATCAGGAAAAACACAGCGACCATTCCTTTCTCCCCCCAGAGGTCGAGTCCTATTTTGCCGAACAGGTCGCGCTGACCCCGGACGTCGGCCTGAAAGCGGACAGTCTCACCAGGAGTGAGCTGGCTGACTCCGCCAGCGACGCCGCCGCCGCCCTCTTGACTAGCCTCTGTCCCAACCTCTTGACGGCCAAGTTCGCCTCACTGATAGATCCGGGTCTTCCTGTCGCTCTTGGCCTCTGCCCTCCGGGGTCGTTGAGATCTTTGAGGGATGTCCAAATATTGCACTCGGACCCGGAACTTGGATTCGACCTGTTGGTCTTTGCCCGGCTTTTCCATGCCACTCCTAACATCAGGCTGCTCCGGCTCATTCAGGCCAGCTGTTCTCAGCGGCTGGAGGAGGGCCTGAAGCTCGAGAACGTGACGGATCTCGAGCTGCTGAGCAGCTGCATGTCGGGCGACGACCTTGCCCACATCCTCCGCCTATGCCCGAACGTGCAGCGGCTACAGTACGTCTGCGGGCCGCTGTATGAATACGACCAGTTCACTCCTCATGAAGCAGTGACGATCGTTCTGGAACATAGTCCGAAGCTGCAGAGGTTCGAGTTGGATCTGACAGACTGGCTGGGCTATGACCACTGGGACGAGGGTGATATCCTTGAGGCGAAAGGCGTTTTGGAGAGGAATCGTGCAGTTGAGTGCGTTTTCAGGCCCGACTATGACATTCACAAGTGCCATCATTTTGTGTCAAACGGGTCAAGGGACAGTGGAGGTATCCAGGCAGTGAGTCAGTAATTAATTCTCGAACAAGGGCGCCGTATAAAAGGGGGCGCGCCCCGCAACACCAGTAGTTTAGGAATCAGAGAGAGAAGATTGAACTTAGTACAATACTGTCACCGTGCAAGTGTTCAGCAGTGTCGCTCTCAGTACGCGAGATATTAGCAAGGCTGAGAGCAGGTCGTCCTCCAGAGACGACGCCACCAGTTACGCACCATTCCTCGCGTAACAGTCGGACTCGGCTGCAGTACTAGCAACGAGCTAGACCTAGCCTCCTCTAGCCACCTATCTGCTCTACTAATCGCGGCAGCTCCTTAGCAACGTGCTCAGCTGTGGAATGCCTTGTCGCATGTCAGTTAGGCATGCGAGACTTCGATTTACTAGTCCCTTGTACCTCTACAATTACGCAACTGCCGAGACGAAAAGGAGTTAGCTGTTAGTAGGGAGCACTAGTAGGACTTCATAATTGTAACAGATTCGGGCCCTAGCCTAGATACCGCGTAATCCTCGGCGTCGCCGAAAGTTGCCCCGATCGACTTAGCCGCTGTGTCGCAGACATGTCGCCTTCCTTTGCGGCCTTCTGCATAAACTAGCCCCTAATACCCTTTGTCGTCCTCCTGCTAAAACACACCAATCTCGAGACGACTTCTCACCGAGCTGGCGCATTTACAGCCGCCATTCCAGCGTCATTCGCCTTGCCAGCGCCCAAGTGTACCTTGCCATCAATACAACAAAGACAAGGTCGTCCGTTATACGTTAGGAGGATTGCAAGCTAGCGGGAGCGCCAGAGAGGCTACGTCATCTTAGACCTCGTCGCCAAGGGCTCGTTTTCAGCTCGGCGTTACTACCTATCCACGTCCATGCCGTTCTCGTAACCGCTGTGTTGCAGGCTCCACTGTAACTACGCCGACATTCAGTCTGAATTCGATTATCTAACCTACAGGCGGAGATATCCCCAACGCACTAAGCAAGAGGAGGCCTTCAGACATCTCTACATTAGGCGCAGTCAATACCTATAGCATTCTTGTAACTAGTTAGAATCTGCATACATTGCAAATCGCTCGCGCAGGGGACCAACCAGGCAGTCGCGTAGGTCGATCCCACAAACGAAGGGAGGCGTCCTAGCTAGCAAAGCAAAAGGACGGACGATGGTAAGCTGCCAGGTAGCGAAGAAAGCTAGCGGATCTCGATCGCTTAGGGTAGACGAAGCCTGAAGTCTAGTTTGGAGTTGCAGCATAAGTCTAGTATAAGTCGTGATCGAAATGAGCCGGAGTACCAGGAGGACTTATTTAGCAAGCGGTATGGTGTAGGGCTCCGGAATGCAGCGCAAGTACCGCACTACGAAAGACTATGTGCGGGCTCTCGAGGCGTCAGAAAGAGGGGAAGAGAGGGGGTACGTCGGGCATACGGCAGCCTCAGCTTGGCGAAATAAGGGAACAAAAAGGCGTCGGTGACGAGGAGCGCTTGGGGGGAGGCAGGGGACCGAGCGGAGGAAACTAGGGAGGGATAGAGGGAGAGAGAAGTCGAGAGTACAAGAAAGGGACGTTGGAGGAAAGGCTCCTATTTATGCGGCAAGCGTGCTGGAGGCCGTGAGAGCGGGACAGTTCGGACGGTTCTGACATTGCGCCATTCCCGATCGGAAAGAGGGCCATTCCTAGCGGGTGCAACAGCATGTTCTACAGGACAATAGTTAGGTGGAATAGAATTGCCTCTCCGGCTCTTGCTTTCAGCCGCTCCTTTGTACACATCTCATTAGATCCCAGCTGGGTCCTGTCCTTTATGAACAGATGTATTGCGCGCCACACTTGCCCAAGTTCGGTGTCAGATAGGCGGCCGACACGTAGTATCCTGACGGGTTCCTAACCCAAGCGCTAAAAGACATGGATTGGATTAGTCTCACACTTTACCAGAAACCAGCATGCACTCAAACTCTGAACTTACGTCTCGCCCTTGATGGACTGGCCAGACTTAACGCAAGAGACCTTCACCTTCGCCCCCTTCGCGTACTGCCCAACAGCGGTGCAGCTCGTGCTGGCGCACTTTCGATATTTGACGGCGGTCGTGGTCTTGAGCGTGCAAGACTTGACGGCGCGGTCCTCAAGGTCGGGGCTTGGTGCGGCGAGGGCAACAACGGCCAGGAGTGGTGCGACGAGAAGCGAGGGGAGCATGGTGAATATGGGAAGTACGGTAGGTACTTAGATAGGCTTGTTTTGGTGGACGTTGAGTGTTGGAAATTGGAAGCACAAGGTGATGTCGACTCGAGTCTGGAATGCAAAGAACACAACACCAGCACTCATGCTTTATATACCTGACCGTTCTTGAATTGCTTCTCAAAATAGTAGTTAGTTCCGGAGATGGAAACTAAAAACGTGATCCCTGCAGGGGTTGAGATCTTCTTGTAGCGTAAGCGGAGGAATCACCTCGCCGTGAGGCCCGCGGCTCTTTTGAGAGTCGTATCGGCAGTGGGCTTTGGTGGAGAGGACTCAGAGGACCAGCTCGAATCATCTGCGGAGGAATTCCTTACCGACCTTACAAGGCTAGGGAGTCTCAGCCCCGGTTATTTTTCGCAATGAGCCCCGAATGGAACAGGGGAATGTCCCCGGACTCTCGAGCCGCGAGCTTGGCCCCCAGTGTTTTTATGTAACCAGTTGCATACCTGGATAGGCTCGATTTATTTAACAGAGATGCATTCCTCCAGATGTCCATTCGAATTTATATCAGCTTTGGCATTCCTTGTAGGGAATTCGTTGCCGGCTTGTCCACCAATGTAGATTCGGTTATGGCATCCCAGGGGCCAGTCCTTTTCCCTACCTAGACTAGGTAATAGACATAACTACAACTTATACCTATAGTCTTATTCGAACTCCCACCTAGTCTCCTCACCCCGTCTATTTCGAACCACCTAGGTACCCTAGAGTAGGCTAATTTACCCAAACCTTCCCCTAAGAAACCTAACTATTCCAATTCTCGGTCCTATGCCAACTTGTCTTTAGATAGGTTAGCGCACATGTATATTAGCTGGCAGGTTGTAAACAATCCTTAGTTGAAAAGGCAAAAGCTCACCGGCCAGCCCCCTTTGCCGGTCGAAGGGAGGTAGCCGGTTACGAAACCCGTTGGGGTTTACTTCGTATGCCCAGTTGCAGCCGGTTGGTGCCCCGCCGGGCGGCTGCGTAGATACTTCTGAAGTGAAGGACTCTACCGGCGGCCCAGTACCTCCCAGAGGAACCCCGAGCTAGCATCGTGATTCGAACCTTAGCCTTCCCTTAAGTCCGGTAGTGACGAGGGGCGAACCAGATGGCCCGTGGGCCGAGGGCCACCGCTTAACCGCTGAGCTACCCAGTTAGGCGGTGGTCCTCGTTGGAAATGGGCGGCCCAAACCTAACTTATATTATTTTACCCACGGCGTCTTTGACTATGGGCGCCCTCTCTGGGCCACCTTACACACAGTACACGCAACACGCGCCGCCAAAACTTGCGGTGTTGACCGTGTTGTTCCTCGTGCAACCACATTGAATTGAATTTCAAACCCCAACTTCCTTCAACTCTCAAGTTTGGTTCTCGACACCCGGCCTCGCCCAGCCTTCCCGATTGAGCCGAGGCTTCCCATCATCTCGTCCTGATCTGGATCTCAACGTCATGCAAGATGCCGAGAAACCGGAACCGCACTTGGTCGCACACATATGTGGGTTGCGCGTGTGGCATTAAATATCAATTGACGGCCTTGGATCAACCCGAGCCCAAGGGTCGGGATGCCAATTAATTACGCCACCTACGCATTGTTGGCAAGGCCCCAAAACCACCCAGTGAGATGTTGATACGACGAATACGGTGGGGAGCGAACGCCTATGAACGCTGGCCAACCTTGCCAACCTGATCGGCAACACGCCAACATCGGGTTCCTCGGATTCAAATTTTCGAAACCAAGGATGAAGTGAAATTGAAATGATTCAAATTCCTGGATCGGCGCCCTGTGGTATTCTTGATGCCGTCCCAACATCCTTTCCTTTTCACGCCTTGGGACAAACCGTACAATTACTCATTTACATGCAACATTCAATTCCAACTGATGTACATGATTTACGTGTAGTTTGAACCCAAACAATGACTCCGGCAGCTCTCATTGCCGCCTGTGTCCCGGCGACATTCAACGGCCTCTCGCTGTTTGGTGCCGAGTTCCTCTCCGTCGACACCAAACTCGTAACCAACTACAGCGCATACGGCGTGGACGTCGCCCGCTTCACCCAGCCCACCATCGTGATCCAAAACGCCACCTTTTGCAACGTCACGCTCTCCTACACGCACCCGGGCCAGGACGACGAGATCTTTGTCGAGACATGGCTCCCCATCGAAAACCCGACCTGGAATGACCGCCTCCAGGCTGTCGGCGGCGGTGGGTGGCAAGCCGGCCGGTTCTTGCTGTCCTGGGAGACCATGAAGGGCGCGCTCGGCGACGGTTATGTGACGAGCACCACCGACGGCGGGCTGGGGAGCGCTGTGACGCCGGATGAATGGGCGTTGACGAGCCCCGGCAATGTCAACTGGTACAAGCTGAACAATTTCGCGTCTGTGTCGCTCAATGATCAGGTGAGAGAGGACTAGATCCAGACCCCCGGATCTGGCACTGTGCTGTGCTGTGCTGTGCTGTCGGCTAACCCAAAAACAGGCCATCATCACCAAGGACTTGATCAAACGCTTTTACGGCAAAGGCCCCGACTACTCGTACTGGAACGGCTGTTCCCAGGGCGGCCGGCAGGGTCTCATGCTCGCCCAGCGGTACCCCGACGCGTACGACGGCATCTCGGCCGGGGCACCCATTCTCTACTCAACTCTCACAGGGACGGGACTGTTCTGGCCCCAGCAAGTGATGAATATGCTCCAGACGTACCCCTACGGATGCGAGATGGATGCCATCACCGCGGCAGCCGTCAAAGAATGCGACGGGCTGGACGGCATCACCGACGGCATCATCACGGATCCCGACGCCTGCCTGGCCTCGTTCGATCTTTTCAAGCTCGTCCGCACACCGGTCCCCAACTGTCCCCAAGCCGGCAACCGAACCGTCGAGATCAGCCTCGCAGCCGTGGCGGTCGTCAACGCTACATGGCACGGCATGGTCAAGCCCAACGGCGGCGCCCCGGTCTGGTACGGGCCGGGACCCGGCTCACTGATCAGCGCCGAGGGCGACGGCATGTTGGTGCTCACGGGGACCGCCGCGACCAACTGCAGCTCCGGGACGTGCGCCAGCAACCCGAACCCCTTGACCACAGGCTGGATCGAGAAGTTTGGCGCTCTCGGCGACCCCTCGTTCGATCTCGGCAGCATGTCGTACACCGACTTTGACGACATGGTGTACTACGGGCGGCAGATCTACCGCTCGGCGCTCGACACCGACGAGCCCGACCTCTCGCGGTTCCGTGACGCCGGCGGAAAGATCATCAGCTTTCACGGTCTTGTACGTTTACCCCCCCCCCCCCCCCCTCCTCTCCTCTTTCCAACCCTCCCTCGTCCCTTACCCAAAACCCCATGCTAACCACCCTCCCCGTGCTCTCAACAGTGGGACCCCTACATCCCGCCCTCCGCAACCCTGCACTACCTGCGCACCGTCCGCGCCACCACCACCAACACGCCCTCCTTCTTCCGGCACTACGAGGTGCCCGGACTGGGCCACTGCGCGGGACACGCGAGCGGGCAGCCGACGAGCTTGTTCGCGCAGCTGCGCGCGTGGGTGGAGAAAGGGGAAGCGCCGGGAGCGTCGCCGGTTAATGTTACCGCGCCGGTGGACGGGACGGTGAGACAGAGGGTGTTGTGTCCGTGGCCGGGGGTGGCGAGGTTTGAGGAGGGGTGTGGGAAGGAGGGGGAGCAGGGGTGTTGGAGTTGTGCGGAGGGGGGTGGTGAAGAGTGAGGTGGTGAGGTGGTGAGGTGGTGGGGTTTGGGTTTCTTGGTTGGTATGATTGGTATAGTGATAATTCGGAGCGATCGGGAATCGGTCACTGCCTCTGTTGGTGGGTGTTGATGAGATTTGAAGTTGACGGGAAGAGAAAGGTCGCAGTTGTTGCATTAACTATGCAGAGGAGGAATAAAACTGCGCCGAGTAAACATTAGTTAGTAAGTAGTTGTTTTTCTTAATCTCGAAAACTTTGACTTCTTCTCCATTTCACATCTCTTCATCAAGCATCAAGGGCGTTCGTGGTGTTGATGGCAGGCCCGACGCTCGAGTGGTGGGGCGCGTGGGCAACTTGCCGATTCTGCTTTTGTGGCAAAGAAATTGTTTGCGACATGCCGCAGGTCGAATTGAGCAGGCCAGTGCCAGGGCCCATCTTGCCATCCAATTCGGGTTCGGGTTTCGCGACCTGTGGAGAATTCCCGAGAAACCGAGAACTTGGCGTGTGCTTGGTTCCTTGGCAATTCTTATCATCCATGTTTCAGACTTTGACAGACGCGATAACTAATTAACTTTTTGCATTTACAGTCGTTTATAAGTTGACCGAATGGGCATTCCGATTCATCGGTTCAAGGGCAGACAGTACCAATTCCAACGGTTAGATACTTGCTTGCCCAGATGGGAACTCCCAACAACCAACAACCCGTTCGTCAAATAACCGAGTATCCGCACTTCCAGTCGACCTCGTATCTCTGCGCAGCCCCAGTGATTGGTTTGTGGCACACTGTCGAGTCGAGTTCTTGTGTCCCCAGTCAGCACCAACAGTCAGCCCCTGACGCCATGCAGTAATTCTTGCGGAGCAAGACATGCAGGCAGCGATCTCCAATTCCAGTCTCCACAGTCAAACCCTGTCAAGTTGGCATCTTTCCATTTCGTCTGCTTCTTTTCCTCCATTGAACTTCCCTTTGGTGTTTTGATACCCACGTCGTCACCTCTCCTCCGCTTTCCCGAGAGGATCGATCAAACCCTCGTTCAGCGGGGTTATCTGTTCAGCGTCCCCTGCTTGAGCTGTTCCTGTCCCTCGGTCCTTGCTTAATTCTCCTTCACCCTTATCCCCATGCTGTGGGTAAAGCAGCCCTCCTCCCTCTCCCCATGTTCGCCCAAGGCAAGCCCTTGACGACGCCCTCCGTCCTCAAGCTAGCCGCCGCCGCCTCCCTCTTCCTCGTCGTCCTCTTCTTCTTCCTCCCCCACGACGCCACCTCCCGCATCATCCCGACCCCTCGCGTCGACCTCACCCCAACGCACCGCCCCTCCACCCCACCCCGCGACGATGTGATCCCCAACCAAGTCCACTTCGTCTACATCCTCCCCAACACCACCAACGACTTCCACTTCCAATTCAGCCACTTCCTCTCCCTCTACGCCGCCTGGCACCACTTCCGCCCCGAGGCCATCCACCTGCACACCAACGCGCACCCCACCGGGCCCGAAATCGCCCGCGCGCGCAACGGCACCGCCGGCAAATGGAACGCCCACATCTTCAACACCACCCTCATCCCCCTGCACATCCACACCGTCCCGGTCCCCACCCACGCGGGCAACGGCCAGCCCCTCGCCAACATGGAACACCGCTCCGACTTCGTCCGCGTCCAGGCCGTCCACGACCACGGCGGCGTCTACCTCGACTGGGACGTGCACGCCCTGCGTGACCTGCGCCCCCTGCGCGAGAGCGGGTTCCGAGCGGTGGCGGGCCGCCAGCTGGGCGGGCAGATCAACAGCGGCACGTTCATGTCGGTGAGGGGGGGCAGGATGGTGCGGTTGTGGAGGGAGCAGATGCATGAGGTGTATACGGGCGGGTGGACGACGCACTCGAATGAGGTGATTACGCGCGTGGGGCAGCGGTTGGTGGGTGAGCCCGGGGGCAGGGAGATGTTGATTATGGAGAGGGAGGCGTTTGCGCCGGGGAGTTGGAAGGCGGAGGATACGGATGCGTTGTTTGGGGTGCGTGGGGATGTGGAGAGTAATTTGGTGGGGTATAGCGAGGGGATGGCGCTGCCGGGGTATGAGGAGGCGTTTGAGGCGCGGTGGGAGAGGCCGGAGGAGTTTAAGGAGTGGGAGAGGGATTGGTCGTTTACGTATTTGTTGCATGCGTTTACCCCGGATAGGTGGTCGCATAAGGTCGAGGGGTTTGAGCATATCACGCCGAGGTATGTGTTGGAGAGGAGAAGCAATTTTGCGAGGGCCGTGTATCCCATCGCGAAGATTATGTACGACAAGGGGCTGATCGGGGTGGACGACTCCCATGAGGGGTGATGGGTCGTGGGCTGGTCAGGGTGGAGGGCGTTTGTAATATTTGTGTATAGTTAGGTAGGTCGCTGCTCCGGGCTGAGGCCGCCGACTTCCGCACCAAGAGTTATAGCGATGATGAAGCCCGAGGTATTGCTTGTACGTGACGACATACCTGCCAGCGTTGATATATATCCCAGCATGGTCTTCACTGGGATACGAACCGTCCCTGAGCCAGATCGAATTCCCCGCGAGTCAACTCCGCCCGATCAACCCCTTCGCGATGGCAGTGGGCATGGCGTTTGGTTTTCCTCCGCCACCGATGTCGCCGCGCGTCAGAAGTATGTGTGCCCGCATGTTACTGTAGCACCTAGAGTTCGGCCTCGACCCCGATGGTGAAAGGGAACCCCACCGCGTCGACGAGGCCTGGTCCTCCGCTATCTTCTCCAACTCTTCAGTGGTGTCCTCTTGCTTGCGTTTGCTGTACGGACAACGCGCGTTTTCGCAGATCCAGTCTGCGAGGTGTCAGCCTTGCATGATCCGGCTGATGATAACAGGCTGCACGCAGTCGGACCGCCATGGGGCGCCTCATCTCCGAGTGTCCGGAGTCTACCTCGCAGTGCTCCCTTGTGCCCCTTGCTGGTCCAAATCTTACAATATCCGGCTGCAAGCAGTCTGGGCCGCCATGCGGACAGAAGAAGAAGATTTTCATTCACAATCATGTTGTGTTGTTCACATTTGGCCAAGGGGTGAGGGGCTGTGCACCAGCCATGAGCATCAGGAAATCGGGGCAGGCGTATGCAGTAAGACACAATAAAAGGATTGGACTTTTGATCCGATGTTCTTTGGTGACAGGAGGTTCAGACACAACATTCACATGTTCAGACCGACCTCAAGGGGCTTCAGATCGACTTCGACAACTTCAGACCGACATCTTCGTCCGAAATCCGGAGCCGTGCGCGGGATGAAAGAAAAAAAAGAAAAACTGTACCACCAAGCAAAGAAGAATGAAATGCCCCAGCAACGTTAGTGGGGTGGCACCAACCCCAAGATGTCATTTCACCTAGGCTATAAACTCATAAACCTACTGGAATTGCCTGACCCAAGCCAGCGAGGGCAGCCAACACTGGCCGCTCTCCAACAGCGTCGACGACAACCTGGCGACCACCGCTAGAGATAGAACCGGGAAGCGGTTCTAGGTGCGCTGTTCACGTCGCTGTCGATACCTTCCCCCTCCCGTTCGTTCTCACCGTCGACCAACTGGTCAACCGGTAACGTGGCAAAGGGAGTGTAGCTGTGGCTCGTCGTGCGTGGCTGAGAGGATTGGGCAGGTTCTGGGGCCGCTGGGCTCTTCAAGTCAAGTGAAATGTGAACCAACCTTCATGAGGTCCGGACCGGGTGGCGGTTCCTCTATGACGTGGGAGGGGAGATTGGGGCTGACTTTTGGCAGTCCGGTTGGTTGTCTGTGTGGTTGTTCGGTTGTGTGTGCGGTGTAGGTGGCCTTTGAAACTCTGCAAGCTTTTGGTCAGCCAAGCAATGGATTAGTTTTGTTAGGTGTGGTTGCAGCCCGCAACCCCCGTACCCCCGGGAACCGCATACGACGAAGTGTTTCACGACCGAGCACGTTTCTTGCGAGCCCGCTGGGATGGTGGAGAGGAGGGGAGCGTGGAGGGCCGGGTTCAGGCTCGCCGATGCCGAGCTCGAGCCTGCCTTTTCTCCGCACATGCAAATATATTGCGCTCGTTCCCCGGCGCTGTAGCGGTACGACGATGGACCACTTGCACACCAAATGCTTCTGGGAGCTGTTCTCACAACCTTTGGCATCTCTCCCCACCTCAACATCACGACATCTCCCCACAAGGCGCGCGATGGCAGTCTCCTTTGACCGCCAGATCTTTTACCTCCCTCCTGCGGTGGCGAGTCCCAAGCCTTTGTCCCCGCCGCTGCCGCAGAAGGCGCACGATTCTCAATCCAGCAGCGCTGGGGGGTCGCAAGCCGATGCCATCCTGATCCCAAGCGATGACGAGTTTGATGATCTCGATGGCCGGTCCGACACATCTGTCGAGTCGATTGATAAGCTCCTGCCGAATACGCGCACCAAGGTTGAATCCGGCCGTGTTACTGGTGCAGGTATGTGCCTGGATCTCGCATTTCTCGACAGGCCAACATGTTGACAGATCTGAGCAGGCAATCGTGTCAACGCGGCTTCTGATAATAGCGGCGCGCCAGAACCTTCAGTTGCCAGTGGGCCTGGCCTGGGCGGCGAGGTAGCCTAGAGCCTTCTCCGGAGCTATTTTCCGGCCCTCGTAAGGCTCTGCACGCGACGCGGACCCAACCAGTTCTGGCCGGCTTTGTTGAGTTCGGGCCAGAACAGGCATCCGCAGCCGACGACACTTTGTGCGATGCCGCCGTTCCAGAGGCGGACGCCGCCTCCTTCGCCGAACACGGAGCCACATACCATGGCTATAGAACGCAGCACAGCTCTCAGCCGCTCGAAAAGCCATGCGGGACGACGTCGAATCGTGACGGTTCCATATGCCTTGACATCGAGGAGTGGGATCGGCGGTTTCCATTCTCACCCGAGGCGCTTCGGCGGAGGTTGCAAGCCAGACGTGCCGCCAAGAGCGCACATAACGCTGCAGAAGCCGATCAGTCGCAGTCTATCTTGGACTATCTTTGTCCGCCTCAAGATCCACGCCCGGGATTGCCTCCAGTCATGGGGCCGGCAACAGCGATCAGACGAGCAACCCAGGACACCGTCATCCGGTTCCAGACAACAGAGGAGAGCAGTGTGGAGTGTCTTGCCGTGCCGCCACGAGCGGATGAGAGCCGGGCACCCACATCCCCACTCCTGGAGCACGAAAGCACCAGCGAGCTCGGACC